AACTACCCCACTCGGTAAGACGGGCCTTCAGTTCGGTTCCCCGCCTTTCCAGCCCAAATCTTTCACCTAATTCCTCCCCCTAACATCCTGCGACATCGTTACCTGTCTCTGTGACATCATTACCTCTCTCTAGCCTCCTCTCTCTCTCACTCATGGTGCGCGCAGAGCATGCAGTAGGGCGTACTCACACTAAAAGGCCCTACCGGTAGCTGAACTACTCAGGCGTATCTTCAGCTACAACGTGGAAAATACGCTCACCATCTTTTTGTCTTTCTTGGATTTGGCGGGTGGTGGACCGAGGGGCCCTCCTATCGCTGCAACTGTGGCTTGCCACCAGGTGGTGAACGGGGTGGTGTATATAATCACGACTGCATGCATTTTCAATCAAAAGTTGGGAAGATACGCTCCACTCTTTGTTTTTCTTTTGCCTTTCTCACACCTGTTGGTCAGCCGTTAAGCCAGCCCCCTCCTCTCGCGACTTCACCGCCATACTCTCCTCTCGACCAACAGACGTTTTTTTGGCTGGCGCGCGCTCAGACTGAATAATCCGCATTTCGGCGCCACACTTTGCGCGCCCTCCTTCCCTTTTTCGTCCCGCGGCCGTGCTACCGTCTTCCCCCGAACATAACGTACCCTCAAAATGAACGTATACAAGGTATGTTTCCGGCCCGATACAGTCAAAATGAGGGTGCGTTGTGTTCGGGGGAAGAGGGTAGACTGCTGACTTGCGCGCCCGACACATTAGCGCGTCCCGACGTAGCCACGTTCCCAGGCACGGTCCCGAGAGCGCCGCGTGGCATCGCCACGTACCGACCGCCCAATCTGTTGGTGCTGTGTTATTACACTGTTTTTTTACCGCCCAAATTTGATCCATTCATTCCCGCGCTCAGCGTCGACGTATTTTCTTGGCCGTTGCTCCTTTTTCCCCACCGCGGTAAGAGTTCAGACAGACAGACGGCTCCTCGGGCCGGTCAGTTCAATGATGATGGGCCTCGCTCCACCACTACTCTCGAAATGTGCAAAACGAAACTGAGGGCCTCGCTGCACTACTCTAGACTCTCGAAATATTTCGAGAGTTCGACTAGCATTGTCAGAGACGCCAGACTCTCGAAATACACGCCTTACTCTAGAACCTGTGACACTAGATGAATTCCCGAAACCCTGGGAGTAGTCCTACTCGACTGAAGGGCTGCACCACTGCGCTACGGGACAAAGTCTGGCCGCCGGGACAGGAGGTCCACTCTCGAAAAACGAGCCCGTCGGCGTACAGAGGATACTTGCAAATTCAGTTTTTGCAGGCAGGGGACTCTACTTTTCGAGAGTTGCGTTATAGTGTGGCTTCTGACAGCTCTCGATCAGGTTTCGAGAGTTTCCCGATCGAGAGTAAGTGCAGCTCTCGAAAATTCGAGAGTCTAGAGTAGTGCAGCGAGGCCCTGAATCTTCTGGTAGACCATGGAAAGGATACATAGCCATGATTTTTGTCTTTTGTACATGTCGAGAGTAGTGGTGGGAGGCCCCATATCTCACTCAAGCCTGCCGAAAAACTTCATCTGCAGACTCTGTACCCCATTCAAAGCTGGGAGTTCCCTTTAAACCCAGTGCCAGCGCCCAACCTGCATCCACAGGGCCCCTGTCCAGGAGCACACAAGACATTATGCTCATTCGCACAAACCAGGCAGGCAAAGTTGGGTATGGGCCTCGTTTGACACTCCTTGGGGATCCAATTCCATCCCCAAAGTTGTGGTTACACGTCATCCTAAAAACCAAATTCCTTGAAAAAATGTGAAAACGCTCCAAGGAAGAATCCTTGGGGAATCAGGGATTCCCAGCCATTTCTTCCTCGGCTCCAAGGGACCCTCATGAGGTCCCTTGGACCCAAGGATCCGTGTTTCACTAACAGGAGCGGGCACATGTGACGCACCAGCTTCTGTATCTGAGCGAACTTCCGTAGCCCTGAGTTTTGTTATTCGTGCTTTTTCTATCTCTAAGGGACTTTCGGGGTACCCTTCTTTTTGGCTGGTGCTATGCATGGAATCAATGGACGACAAGGTCCTCCCACTTTTAAAGCTCATTGTTATTCTTTCTGAGGACTTTTACGATTTCTCTCCGGTGATCCATCAATTTACATAGGACTTACGCGCGCCTTAGTGAGCGCGCTAGGAATTTTGTTCGGCAGTTGGGGATTCCGGAATTTGTGGCCGCACTTCCCGCTGACGTGTCCTTTCTTGCAAGTGAAATTCGCCCTTGAAGGCTCTGTGAATTTTCTGTCGGATCTGAATAAGCGTAGGATTTTTCCCGCATCCAATCTCCCTCGCGGATATCGTGTTTGAATTTCTCAACCTTTAATTACTTTTAGAGATAAAAATGGACGGAACATAACAGTTTTTGTGCCTTTTTGTTTCCGCACCGGCGCCATGTATGCAAACTTCCTCGGCTTCCCACTATCCCCATGTCATCTTCACCTCTCTCTTCTTTGCGCCTTATTTCCTCCATCTGTAACTGTTTTCCACCCCCTTCCCCTTCACGCTTCTCTCCCGCTCTTTTTCGTCTGAGTCTTGGTCCCGCTCCACGCTCTCCTTCTTCCCGCCTTCATCCCCATACAGGAACTTCCTACCGATCTGATTGGCTGTGAAGAAACTCGCGGGGATCGATATGGCTTTCCCCAAACGATTCACTACTTAAACTCTCTCTTCACACCCTCCTACCTCCGCCCCATTCCCTCCCATCTTCTATCTCCCTCTTCACAACTATAAAATCCGCAAGCGTATCCAAAAAACTTTCTCTCAACCCATCTGCCAGCTTTCGGGAAGTCGTGGCTAGATGATGTGTATGTCTGGTGAGTCAAGAAGTTCTGACGAGCTGACTATAGTGTTACAAGGTTGTGTGTCAGGTGGCCGCTACAAACTGCGGGATCTGGGTAAGTTGGTGTAGAAGCTGAGTTGGCGGGGTGACGATCGCTGTGGTGTGGAGGTTGGTATGTGGTGGCGGGGATCATCAGTACTGGGGTAAGGAAGGTGTATGTATACGAGTGGTTGCATGGCATGCGGCCATAGTCAGAGAGCAGAAGGTTTGCATGCCTTTGATCTTCGGTTCCTCCTCCTATATTGGAAGCTAAGTCCACGACAGATTGACAATTTTGTTTCTCATATCTATTTGTGTGCTCATAACTCCTTCTTTTTCCTCAGTCCCCTTCTTCGTTCAAGCTACGGCTTCGTCGACCTCCTTCGACCTTACCCCTCTCTCTCTCTCTCTCTCTCTCTCTCTCTCTCTCTCTCTCTCTCTCTCTCTCTCTCTCTCTCTCTCTCTCTCTCTCTCAGGCTCTCTCGATATTTTCTTTATGAATGTTTGAATGTTATGATAACTCCCTCGTCCCTACCAGCTCCCGAGGTCCTGTTCCGCTCATCTCATTGAATTCAATCGGATCTCGCGAGGATGAGTATCGTTGAATTTGAAGAAACCAGCAAGATCAGGTGATTTTATCTCGTCCCTCTCTTTGCTCCTTAGTATCCGATGGTTAATGCATGAGTGATCTATTACATATATGTATCGATTGAGTCGTTACATTGATGACGGGAACAATTAGGAGTCTGAAATGATCATTTCGATGCATGCTTAACTACTCGCACGAATGAATGATGGTCGTTCTCCCGACTGAGTGGACTCACGCCTTGAATGGGTTTGCACAGTGGATAGAAGATAATGCATAGTATGATGTTTGTTTATTCCTTTGATCGAATAACGAATTGATCAAACATACACAATCAGCCTTGCTTATGCCATGTGGACTCGTCCACGGGATGACAATTTAATTCGTTAAAAAGAAATAAGGGTAACTTAAGTAGAGTCACAAAAAAAGTTCTAATTGCACTACGGGCAAGATACACTTTGCAATTGCGCTTCAGGCACCCTACCTGGCCAAAAAGTTGGGTTCTATACATTGCCCAAACTGCAATTGCAAAACTGTATGTTAGCCTATACTGCAATTACAACTTATTTTTGTGACTCCCGCGTAGTTTCTCCGAATAAATAATAATGAGCACGGGGGAAAGTGAGCATCAATAAATTTAAAACCAGAGATGGTTGCACTTTGTGCCTAAAGAGAACCCAAAGGCAAACATGAAAAGAACTGCGGAAAAATCAATCTTCGCTTCGGGATTGGTTTTGAAGCTCCCATAGTAGTCTTTTGTGGACCCTCGGTCAACTACAATGAAGGGGGGCAAAGTATCTGGGTTTCAAATTCTTGTCTGCAGATGCGACCATGAAATCAAACGTTTGGAGGCTATCAAGGTTGACTCTTAAATTCGCTTTATGATAGACAAACAAGGCTATGCATTTAAAAAATAACAATTGTGTAGAGTCTTCTTTCAAAAACAAGTATACCAATCTGCAAATTGTGACACACACTCGACAAGTAAGTTCAAATCCCAACAACAACAACCAACCCAACAAACCACAACTGAAACGGATGCAATGTATGAACAGGTCTCACTCAAATGAGTTCCACCGTCCCCCTCCGGAAAAAAAAAAAAGGTATTTTCAACGCTTTCATAGC